AGTGCAGCCCAGTCAGAAGAAATCTCATAACTATTTGCTGGGAAGAAAATGGCAAATTTAGAACCAGTCAAATTGTCTTTGGGAACCACACCCATTGATTAGGTGAAAGTGAAAAGGTTTCTGTAAAGTAGAATGAAATCAAATCGTGAGCAGACCTTTACAACACACGCCGCTTTTCACTGCTCATGGACGGACTCAGCAGTTCCCTCCAACCCCATAGAAAGGGCCACCTAATTGAATACAAACCCTGAGATTTCCCCGTAAATGGCGACCCCCATGAAAGGGTTTCCAGTATGCCTTTGAAATGGGTAAAGACCGTTAGGATAATGATTTCAAGAATGATCTCAACGAATCAACGAATTCAGCTGCTGATTCGATAAAAAAGGTCATGAAGTGCTTTGAACTTTCTAAGTGATCATACTCGTTTTTAGTGAGTGTTCAGAAGAAATCTTTAAATTAAGTCCGAAGAACACAGGACACAGATCTTGATGCGATTTTTGGCTGAGTGCCAGTATTCCCAGAGAATAGTTCAAAAACTTAGAAAATGCCAAGAATGCCTTTCTACGGAGAATGCAGTTCTTCTTAATAATTCTACATGAAGATTTTCGATCACTGTGAAGGTGCAGAAAAGAAAATATTGGGGAGTAACGAAACTTACGGTGATCAACCTTCATTCAGGTCATTCAGGGACACACGTTACGACCTTCGAGGAAGACTAAATAGCTTTTTGGAACGTCGTTTTAACTTACATGATCATCCCATCGTTGTACCCCATTGATGGCACATTGTGCAGGAATCGCAAGGGCTCGCATCGTGATCGGACTGGCGGCGATCGTGGACGGAATCGTTTCAGTTCCAGGTGAAGGTCTGCACCTAAAGAAGAAGTTCTATGAAGCGAAGTGGAACTGAACAAGGTGAAACGGAGGAGTACGGAATGAATCGTGGATAGACGCAGTTGGCGGAAATTCCTCGCTCTGTTCCCGTCGATTAGCGAGATGATTACAATATGCATTATGCAAAATTCGCGGACCATTAGACCGGAAACACTAAAGGCTTTTCCGGTTGGGACGCCTCACCCAAGCACTCAACGCTCATCGGCACTGCCCAAGTTGGCACTAACCAATGGAATATTGTGATTAAACTGCCGAGTGAGCAGTATATTCGAAATGGGTGGAACTAAGCTGGGACCGCAATGTGGTGGGTTGCCAAAGGTCATCTGGAAGGAAATGTGCGGCTGTCATGTGGTGCCAGATGTGAGAGATGTTCCTTCATTCGTCCAACATAAGAAAATCGCAAGAATTCTCGAAGGAACCATTTCTCAACAAATAATACAATCAGGATGAGAGATATTCGGCTTTATGGCCAGATGCCAGGCTAGTTCGATCGATAAGTGAGGGGCTTCCCACGTGGGAACATGAGGCTGACATCCTTGTGTTTGACGCCAAAAAGGTTGCCGTCAAGGTCGGCACTGTTCTTGGAGGCAGGCAATGAGCAATTACGACTGCCAGACGCATCTGACAACGAAGACGCAACAACCGGCACCACTGCTGGTCGGATGCGCTCGGATGAAGCGTGACAACAGGGTCGTCGAGGGGCTGCAGTGTTGTGACGGAATACCTGCCGGGGAGGGCCACCATCTTGTGGGTTACACTGCTCTTTATTGCTCATTTAAAAACGAGAATAAATCACAATTCGCTCTAATCTGCTCACTTTACAACACTTTTACGCTATTGGTAATTCGTTGAAGTGGACCAAAAAACCAGAAGGGAAGGAACGAAAGTATGAATGATTGCTTCAAGAGAAATGTGGAGCCTTAATTGTTTGTCGGCAATCTTTCTATCGTTAAATGCTTTCTATGCTCACCAACTGTCAAACAGCGACGATTGTGGCACTGCTTCATTGAAAATTTCTCATTAATTCATGAAAAGAATGATATCATTGAGAAAATGACAATCGCAAGGGGGAGAAGAGGAAATCAGGCGGATAAGCAAAGTGGGAGTGGGGGGAATGAGAGTCGAATCAGATTCGTAATTGAGTGACAGACACCATGCGGTCGCATTCAGCTGCTCGCTCACTACACTCACTACTCTCTTTCCGACTTAATCCAAATCCCTTCGTTCGCACCGAAACCAGTCCTCTCGACTCCCTCGGCGGGCTGGCCGGCCATTGACAACACACAACAAAACGAACGAACCACGAAATCATAGGCGAACAACTTTGACTCGAATCGCTTTAGCAGTAAGGCGTGCATGGAAGGGTGCCAAAGAGGGGGCCTGACGGCTCACCTGCTATTCTGTATCGAACCGTTGTGAAGGGCGTTGAGAAATATTTCACCTGCTCTCCTGAATTACTGCAACAATGAAATATGGTGAATATGGGGTAGAGAAGAAAAAAGGAATTGGGACACCGAAATAATATAGCCTTTGCTGAAAATTATTTCCCCCTGGAATCCCATTCCCGTTTAATATTGCCCATGCTCTCCATTCCGGCCGACTGATATCCATTCATTGGAAACAGCTCAAATCAGGACATAACCCCTCGAATCATCTCATCTTGGTAAATCCCAAAACGAATTACCGGTGTTTTAGGGAGAAATATAGACAAGGGCATAATGACCTCAAAGAAAATGTCAGAGTTGGGAAAGCCGAGGACGAAAATTGATTGGTGTCAATTATGTAGATGACAGGAACTGAAAAAGGCAGTGGCTCTAACTGAATGTTTTATCGTTAGCAATGGAATCCGTGTTTTTCAGACATTCGTTTCTGTGGACTATGCAACGTTCACTACTGTTATGGACAGCCAAACAAAGTAGTAGGTTCTATGGATGGCTACAGCTCCAGGTGATTTTGCTGGGAATGCTAGCTGTCGATAAAGTCGTCGTAAAAAAAATTGAGCTATAGTGACCTAGGCTCGGAGTACATTACCAGGGTTATACCCCCTTTTCTTGAAATGCGTTAGGTCCAATTCGGAAGAAGAATCAGAAACGCAAAGTTGTCTTCTCAGAAACTTGTAAGTAATAGCTGGATGAACATTATGAAGTGGGAAGGGAAAAGGGGGATTATGTCGCAGTGTAAGGAGGTAGTAGCGGGAGGATCAATGCCATCGGAGGTACCTCAGAGGATGGCTGATTGATCTTGACCTTTGTTTAACCTTTGTCACATCTACAAACACACGGCCGGCTCTCTGCCACCTTCCCCCTCCCTAACCATTCCCTTCTTACCCCAATCCCGGTGGCTGGTCCCCATATAGCTTTGCAGGTGAACGAATTGCTCTCTGGAAAGCGGTGGTGAAGCTCGGACGAAGTGGGTTTCTCAAAGTGCAACGAAAGCTGGGAGCCTCTAGAAAGCAGCTAATGGGAAGCCGAGTATAGCGAGAAGTGATAGAAGAAGTGTGCGCGGATGCCCTCCTATGAATACTAATTGTCATGCAATTATGTAGATGAATCACGAAGACACCGTTGAGGAGCGCTCTTCGGCTCTATTACATGCCTGAGCAGTAAGGGAGCAAGAGGATGCTGTGGGAGGGAGGTGAGATATGGCGGCCAGCGGTCGAGCGACTGAGTCACCAGACCCTCTTCCACGAAGAACCGGTCGTGGCGAGACGTAGGCACGTCGAGAAGTTAAATGGATCGACCGACCTAACTGAATCGATCGTATTTCTTTTCTTTCGACTCGAGGTTCGACCGTCGGCTGCATTGTAAATAGTAAGGGATCGCTTAGACACACAGTGGCTGCTTACCTACCACTGCAGGGAGCTGAGCACTATGCCTCGATGGGGCGGACTAAGTTCGAGACCTGGTGTGTGCCGCTGATAGGGGACAGCTAACTGGCTCACGAGGCGTTTGTTTATTGCTGACGGGTGACAAATTTTTCCCGCATTCAAAAAGCCGAAAAAATTCGGTTGCAACCAAAACATCGCTTTCAGTAAAGTCCATAGTGCTTCTACTAAAAGACATCAAAGTCTTAATTCACGAAAGTGCCGCATACGCGGACCCTTCATTTAACGAATGAAATTTGAGGGCGCTCTATGAAAAAACCATGGGTAGGAATTTTGGAGCGGAAATAGCTCGAAAGATAGTGTTGAGAGGGGATTCATGGAAAGAATAATCTGAGAGCAAGCCGCGAAACGAGATTCGCTGTGCAAACAAAAAAGTAAGACGGAGCAAACCTGACTGATGAGAAGGCATATGCCGGCTCTCGTTATTAATTTTTCAGAGCTTAGCTTCGAGACGTTAGAAATTAGTCGAAAAACATCATGCTTCATCAGGCAACCAACGTCGCATACTCCAGTAGAGGCGGCTGTGAGCTCTTAGAAGAGTCGAAAGGAAGTAGACTTTGGAGATGAGCACGAGTGGTTGATCTGAGTGTTTAGGTTGATGATCTCTTATTTGCTCGTGGAATATAGGGAGTTCTGATCTTCCCGAACACCAGATTTGGAGAGTTCTCCCACTATTGTGACTGTTCTTCTGGCAAAGCCTAAGAACATAGAGAGTGCTCTTGAAGGTCTTCAGCAAAGAAGCTGCAGTTGGTTGAGTCTCTATTCGGTTGCAGAGTGCCAAAACATTCCTTATGCTCTGTGTGAAAACCTTTAATGCCAAAACTAAATGGGACCTTTCACAGTAAAATAGTAAGGGAAGGCTCAGTTGTTAGACAGCTTTGGGAAGAGAAGCATGTCGTTTCGAGCGAGGACAAATTGCAATATGTCTGAGATGCTCGTGAAAACGTGCACGGCCAATGCCGCTTGCGGATCGAAATAAAAGCTCATTTATTCTCTATTGGTCTGAAATGAGCAAATTTAGCCTGCCTGTCTCCCCCATCAAACGCTTTCCTCGACACATACCGCCGTTAATGAAGGCGGCGTCAGACAGCTTCTGGTTGCTCTCATACGGTTTTATGTTTGTGTGAAGCTCGCGCCGGAAATCATACATAAAAGAACAGATGAAAGAAATGTACGATGACACGTTTATGCAAATCTCAGCTATCGAAAAGCTTGGCTGAACGTTAACGAGCGGCCAGTTTGAGGGCGTAGATCCTATTGTTCTCCATATCGTCCCGAACCATCTTTCCGAGTGCCTTAAAAGTAACAACGTCAGAACGTGGTGCGACTTAGATTATCCTCCCACTTATTCAATAACCGTTTTTGGCAACAATCCAAAGAGCACGGACACTTCGGATTGGTCAGATCGTGTACAAAATTTCCATAGCATTGGGCTTTTATAGCAAAGATTTCACCTGATTGGCCACGGTTTTCACCAACATCCCTTTAAGATCCATAGAAACCAAGTATTCATAGATGGACGAGTTCTCTGGGTCTTCAGGGTTTGGCTTGTACCAACCAGCGGCGACATGAACAAATCCCCTGAAATAAACCAAAGCTGAATAATAGGGAAGGGTTTAGGAAAAGAAATAAGGCTCAGTTGTACAGATGTGAACGAAATACTCACTTCAACAAAAGATCTATAAATAGAAGTTTTCTTCGTCTAATATTTTGAAAAAATAGATTTTGCAGTCTTTCAGGATCTGATATCTCCGATCGAATCTATTCAGATAACCGAATCAAACGGAACCGATTGGAAAGTAGAAGCAATGTCGGAAAAGATACGAATTGCACTGTAACAGACTGATTGTGAGCTCTTGGCATTGATGTTTCCTCCAGACTATAAACCCCATCGACTTTCATGGACTCTTACTCTGTCACTAGCGTTTGCCCTGCGCTGTCACAGTATTGCTGTTCGTATGTGTTGTCTCCAGTTCCTTCTATCCCGACATCCGTCATTTTAGTTTTAACGAGGTCCTTCTTGATCACGTCTAGCTACCTCGTCTTTGGTGCTCCTCGTGATCGCGAACCTCGAGCATCAAATTCCTTTGCCTTCCACAGTTCATGGCGTTCTCTGTGCGTCCCCTTCCCTTCAGCTGGGTAGAGACTGTTTGCATGTTCGTCCTGATGTCCTCGTTTCTTCATTTTTTTCAAATCGTGTACGACCGCAGACCCCTCTGGGCATTCTACTAGGAGAAATGTGCTGTTATTTTCGCTTACGGACCGGCACTCGCTCCACTACAGCACCGCGGGCTTCACTTCTGCCCGGGATACACCTATCTTTTGACCGTCCTGGTGCACAGTCCGTAACAATGCTGGTAGACTCTCTCCCACGTTATCCATGCCGCGTTTATTAGAGTATTTACAACTGGCCCACGCTACCATCAACGACTAGTTTACGACCCAGGTAACCGGAAGTCTTGTACCCCTACGATGAATTCTCCGAATCCATCTACGACTGATTTCGTGCACTCCTCGCAGACAGGAACTTGGTTCTGGTCACATTCAGCCTAATTGTAGGTCCACTCTCCGCCAACACTTTCTGCAGTTTTCCACAATGTTCGCCTCTGCTCTCCATTATCAGAGCGATGTCATTATCACAGAAAATGGTCTTCGATGGGCCATTTTATGATGGCATCCACTGTGAGCACGATTATAAACGGGCCCAGAGCTGATCCTTGTGTACACCAACCGTGACGCCTATTGCTATGTATCATGTACGCGCAGTCATCATAATCCCACGATAATCGCACTCAACATTAAACCTTCATAAAGAACATAAGCAAGGTATCGATAGTAATTCATCTTGATAAAGATACTACATAGTAATGCTAGTGTTTTAAAGCAATTTTAGCTACATTAATGGTAATTTCGTATGAGACAGCTCGAGTCACCTGGTCCTTCAATACTTATACTCAGGATGGAACCAAGGCCTCAGTCAAATTTCAGCACTTTTTGGTGAAATATCCCAAAATCAAAGTTCAAATACTGATGACCGAAAAGCCTTCACTGACATTTTAATTGGCAATGAAAAATTGCCTGTAGATCAGCCCGTTAAATGAATTTTTTAAGTCAATTACTTGACAATGGCCAATGTTGGGTGAGGAGTAAAGAGTAAAGAGAACGGGGCTCGGAAAGCACAAGTACGTGCTCGAGCCCCGCCCGGGAACGATGTCCTTCCCATAACACGTCAACATTGTTAGCATTGTCGTGGTCTTGTTTTTGAAAGGAATCCGATTCACGATACATTGTGGAGGACTTATCAACTACTTTTTTTTTTAAGAAAAATTCAAAAATTGAACAAGTCTGCTCGGAAATAGCAGTGCTATAGGCATGACCTCTGGAACCCGTAATCGTCGACCTGTAAAAAATATCAGGGTGGTTTAATAATTCATTGATATCGAAGAGATTTTGAGCTGAGAAGCTCTATTGCTAATCTGCATTGCCCCTAACAACGTCTAGGTTTATGTGTAATAAGAAATATTTTTTATGTCAATTCTGCCTACTATTGGGAGAGTTGGATAACTGGCTACATAAATGGGTTAATTCATCCAATCGGAATGGAATTTCCTTTGAGCAGATTCCTAAGAAATGAAAAAGACGTCCTTGTAAAATAGTATGTCCTAATTCGATCTAAAACTAAGGTAGCTGCATTACTAAACAAGGCGGCGGCTTAAGGAAAAAAAAAGAACTACGGGTCTTCTTTTTTTCAGGCAAATTGCAGGTCCATAAAATGCACACATCGAGTTCCTATTGAAAAGTCGTGCAGCACAACTAAGAGCAGATATGCACGGTATAAGTTTGGCCGCGCAACAGCGCAACAGCCATGGAAACGCAACAGCCATGGAAATGTCATGACGCACATCCCTTCTCATCGCCTCTGACACGGAAGTTGACTTCCACGGTACATTTTCGCTGAAAAGCGTCATACTCATGTCCATTCTACTAAGTTGTAAGCTTCCTTGAGTATTCTTGCGGATGGACTGCAGAACTGATCAACGAAGAGCATCTCGCTTTCAAATCATCTGTGCACAACGCTTTATAATCAATGGGAAGCACTGAAGTTCTACTTGGAAGTTGCCAAGATCCTGAAAGGTCAATGATCGATACAGAGTTCCTTTGTCGAAAAACGCGGACAACGCTCCAGTTGTCGGCTTTCACAAAGTATTTACTAGTTGACCTAGATCGCGCTTACGCGTGCATGACATCAAAAAACGAACCCATACAAACCCGGCTTTAGGTTTCTGACGGGCGCTCGGCCCACTATGAACACGTGACCACTTTTCCTTCTATAGCCTCTCACAACTTTTTCCGGATTTGGGAAATTTCAGAACAGAATCGTGAACTTCGAATAGACAACTTCCATTTCCAAGCACGCGCTGCCCTTCTAGGTAAATCATTTTCCAGTAACTCATGTGGAGAACAGTTCCAGAGCGAAACGGTCTTCGCAGTCATTTTGGGTCAATAGAGGGGGATTTCCTGGTCATAAACATGCCTCGCAATCGCATACAACACAGTTTTCGCGATCATGTTCAGCATCCTTCTGTTACATGAACAAGTAACTTGATGTGTCGCTTGTAAGTGGGTGTGCTAACCGATAAAGATTCACCAAATTGGATGCGGTGTAAGAGGGATAGGAAATATGGGTTGTTCGATGATAATCTCTCTTACATATAAAGCAGTAACTTGGTTTGTCGGTTTGTCGGTATGTCGGTATGTTGGTTTGTCGGTCTGTCCGTCCGCAAAACCTACGATAGAGTTGATTGATTACGATAAAGAAAAACGGAAAATGGAAATCTTAGCACTATTCTACACTTCCTTCTTATATATAAGGCAGTGACGTGGTGGGTAGGTTAATGGAGTGGAATGCGGGGTGAAGTGAGTGAGGCTGAGTGGAGAAGTTACTTCAAAACTAAGATTTTGATCTGTACTGGCATCGTGCTATGCGGGGATGGGGGACGTACTAAGTGATTTCCA